GTGATTGTGAATAAAAAAAAATTCAATGACAATCATTCAAATAAATTTTATCCTTTGAAATCTTGTGCTCCTATTGCCTTTTCTTTCATCTCATTAAAAAAAGAAATCTCATTTTTATAGAAAATTATTTGATTTTTTAATATTAATTAATGTTGAGTTGTGAGTCAATGATTCCAATTATATTACTTAATATTATATTTGTATTGGTAAAATCCCAATGAAATTTTTCTGACAGTTTGACAATAGGATTTCCTTCACTGCCACCAAAACATAGAAAATACCAATCATATCCTGTTGATTAAAGACTAGTGCTGTAAATTATGGTGATGGTAGTAATTGTATTTATGGCATATAAAAAGTGGTTGCAATTACCTTTGCAACCACTTTTGAAACCATACTTTTTCCTTTTTTGGATTACAGCACTAGTCTTTACTGTTGATACAATATCATGTATATACTTTGATATCTGGTTTTATTTGGTGAGTAATGCATTTTTCATTTCTCTAAAGACAAGATAAAAAAAATTTTTTAATATGTGTGTTAAAGAGATAGTGTAAATGTTAAAAAATTTACACATACCCACACCGCACTGTGAATCTGTGCAAGGTTTTGTGATATTCCTTGTTGGATGTCTTGCTTTTTTACTTATATTACAATAACATAAATATAACCCTCTTTATTAGTGGGTTTTGAGAAAGCAGAAACCTTAATAGAAATGAAATCTTGCCATTAAAAAAGCACAAATTAGAAAAAACAGCCTAGTAACTCAGTAACTAAAAACATTCAATAAATGTTACTTACTATCAACTAGGATGCCAAATGTCTCAAGATTTTGTTATAGTTGTTTCTCACCATTAATTCCATTGTTGTATTAAGATACAGGCAAAAGGCAAGAGATTTTTTGTATTGAAATATTGGTTGTAAAGGTTATTTATATGAATGTCTTTGAGAAATCAACTGTAGTTTCTATTCATTGATGCTGTTTATGTTAATTGTAAGGATTCTATCATGGTACCAGCCTATTGGTCACTTATCTCCAGGAAGCCTTCATCAGGAAATTTTTATGACAGATTTTTCTGATTATTACAATATTTATATAAGTTTATGGTGGATCCCAACTCTATATGGATTGTGGATAACAAATAAACCTTTGCAAATCATAACATTTCATCATCATCTGATTGGTTTGTTGACAAAAAAAATTAAAAAAAAAAGATTTTAACCCCAAAAATTTATAATCAGAATTTTGAAAACACACCCTAAAAAATTTATTATATACACAGTGAAATTCGATTTAGCGGATTTTGATTTAGCGGATTTAGGGGTTTAACGGATAAAATTTCGGAACAGAATTTTTTTATAGTTATTTTATCTTGATTTAACGGATTTAGCGGATTTTTATATATATTCGGTATACCGGATATTTTTTTAAACCTTTTAATGTCGTACATTAACAAATTTATTTCGATATAACGGATAATGATGATCATTACCGTTTAGAAAATTTAAAAAAATAACGTATGATAAAATAAACGTAACGTATGATAATAACATATGATAATATAACATGATTCATATGATTAAAATAAATAAAAAAATTATGATTTTAAGCGTCAATATTTTTGGAAAAAATAGAAACAATAGCTTATTATTATAATTAAAAATAATTAAATGTAAAATAAAACTTATGATTTGTAAAGTTAAAATTTATGGCTTGTATAATTGATTCGTGAAAATAAAACTTATGATTTAATCAATAGGAAAATTTTTTCTTATATAAAGGGAAGGAAATATCCACCTTTGTCTATAATCAAAAAAAAAACTTTATCAATTTAAAAATAAAACAACTATACTTTTAATAATAAAGTTGAAAATATGTACTCACAAAACAGATCAGAAGAAAATTCAAACCAATCTAAAGTAATATAAATAAGATTTAAATTGTGAATAAAATGATTCATTATAATTAATCATTATTTTAAACTATGTAGAAAACAAGAAAAATACTGACCAAAGCACAAAAAAAAGAATTATGTGAAAAAAAAAGAATAATCCAAGCATTAAAGGTGTTGAATTGGCCCATGAATTTGGAATATCTGTACAGTCTGTTTCCGATATATTGAGTCAATCTCCTCAATGGTTAGATTATGATGAAAGTTTAAATAATAACAATCTATATAGAAATAAAAAAATTGGTTATCCTGATATTGAAGAAGCAACAAGGATCTGGGTTGATCAACTTTTGGTTAGAAATTTAACATTCAGTGGCCCTATTATTCAAGAAAAGGCAAAAGAATTTGCTAATCTTTTTGGAATTAGTGATTTCAATGCTTCTATAGGATGGTTAAACAATTTTAAAAATAGAAATAATTTACATAGTTACAAAAAAAGAGGTGAATCATTGAGTGCACCCAATCATGAAATTGCTGCTATGCGCCTTCAACTTCAAGAAACCTTACAAGAATATAATCCTGAAGATATATGGAATTGTGATGAGACTGCAATATTCTGGAAACTAGAACCTAATAGGACAATTGCTCATACACCAGTTATGGGGAAAAAACGCCCTAAAGATCGTATAACTGCCATGCTTACTTGTAGTTTAACTGGTGAAAAACTTCCTGCACTTTTCATCCATAAATCTGAAAATCCAAAATGTTTGAGAGGTATTTCCAAAAATACACTTCCTGTGTGGTATTACTGGAATGCTAAGGCATGGATGCAAAGAAGTATTTTTAAACACTATTTAGAAAGGTTCAATAATATAATGATTCGAAAGAATAGAAAAATAATCTTGCTTTTAGATAATGCTAGTTCTCATAACACAGAAAATGTTTGTTTCTTAACAACATTAAAATTTTGTTAAATGTACCTACTTTATCAAATATACGAATTCATTTTTTACCTCCTAACACCACATCTATTCTACAGCCTTTAGATCAAGGAATAATCTATAGCTTAAAGGTGATTAAATAAATTTTTAATTAATGTTCACATTTAAATGAATTAATTTTCAAAATTTTTTTTTGTAGTCAAAATATAGAAAATTGCTTTGTCAAAATAGAATAAAAGCTTATGAAGAATCAGAGAATAATAATAATGAAGTACCTCAAATCAATATTTTTGATGCAATTAATTTTACTTCTAAAGCTTGGGAACAAGTAACAGTTGGAACAATTAGAAACAGTTGGGCGAAAACCATGATAGTCAATAATAATCAAAGTCCAACTGATTCAATAGTTGAAAATTCAAATAATCAATCAGAATTAAGTGAGATATATGATTTAATCAATCAACTTCCCTTTACAAATCATCTAGATGCAAATGAATTTATTACTATTGATCAGAATCTTGCTGTTCAGGAGGAAATAACAGAACAAGAAATTGTGAGTATTGTAAGAGGACAATCAGCACATGAAGATGAAGATAACAATGATACAATGGACAAACCTGAACCAACAATCACTAGCACAGAAGCTATAAAAGGTTTGGAAACTGCACTCAAGTATGTACAACAAAAAAATTTGGAAATTGATTTCCAAATAATTAGAAATGTCAATAAATTAAAAAGGGAAATTTCTTACAAAAATTCTCAAGAAAGAGTACAAACAAGGATTGAAGAATATTATATGCTAGAATAAAAATAAATTTATTTTTTTTGTCATTTATAATATTATTATTTTATTATTTACATATATATTGTAAAATTTGTTAATTATAAATAAATAAGATTTTTATGTAACTGATGTCACATGATTTTTAATATAAAATCCGCTAATTCCAAATTTCTCGTTTTTACGGATATTTCGATTTAGCGGATAAATTTCTTGGGCCAAACTTATCCGCTAAATCGAGTTTCACTGTGTATTTAATAATTGCGCGTCATTACTCTTATTAGCCCAAAATAGTAAAGATCATCGTTATACATAATATTGAGAAAAATTTATTATGAGTGACATATATGAATTTTTAAAAAATATCCAGTAAACTGAATTTATTATTATATGAAAAATCCATTAAATCCGTTAAACAGCATAGTGGACAAGCATGGTGGACATTCAAATATCACGTAAAATGTTACACGGATTATTTATATTGTTTAAAATAATCAACCAGTCCCATCAATTAAAGTGGGTACAAGTGTACTAATTAACGACCATTCAAAATTCAATATATTATTCTCCTAGTTGTTTTATACGAACTGTCAAAAGATCACAGAGAAGATCACACTTTTCAAAATTGCAATCTATTAAATGCCACCTAAAAATCAATTCTGCAATTACTGTAAAGAAGAAAAATTCTCAACATTTAGAAATGTTACTGAAGAGGCTAAGAAAAAAGCTAACAAGGGAGAATTTTTTGTAAATGTTGGTGATTCTCTTTGTTCAAATTGTTATAATTGTGTGGTGCAATATGACAGGAATCAAAAATACAACAAGAAAAATGATAACAAGCCATTTAAAAGACATAAATCAACTGAAAATATTGCAACTGATAATAATAATTCTTTAGCTTCAATTGAAGAATTACAAAATGAGATAACAAAATT